TTAAGTTGAAGGATGATTCAACTGTTGAAGGGGGACTTTTGTGAGTGTGTGCGCATCATTTCAATCATGTGTCTGCGGGCAAAATTCCCCCTCCACTCCTGTTCCTTTCACTCTTATTCCAGACGTTACACAATTAAAGAAAGGCACAATGACGGCCACATGTGCAAGGATTGATCCAGCATTGATGATCGGCCAGCGCTTTGGTTAATAAGCTACAGATTCTGCATGTTAGGAGGACAGGGGAATGGGCTCAGACCCACTGAATGGAAGCCTCTGTTTGTCTCATTCCACCACAAGAGCTCGGAGTCCAAGTCCTCATTAATGGTACAGAGGATCCATCTCCTCTGTAATGAAGGAGCACCAGCTCATCTGCATGAAGCCCCCCTTATTCTCAACAGGTCTGACCGCGCCGCACGGCAAACACACTTTACATACAACACACTACACCAATCCAACGGATGGGCCAAAACACTGCTCACGTACAAGAGGTCATTTATTTCAGACATGTTTTGGACAAACGCATCTGACAACAGGGGTCTCCTTTGATGTTTGAAATGACATAAGGGAAACAGATCATTCAAAATAAGACATGAAGGGGGGAAGCACTCATTTTAGACCCAGTTTGCTTGATTTTGATGCTCATCTCTGAACATTTTATTTTTCACTTTTGGTGTCAAAGACAACCCTGGAGCACACACACACACACACACAATTAAAAATGCAAATTGAGTGCAAATGTGCAGATATCATTATTTGAAACAAGATATTTGACAGTGTAACTCGGGTTTTTAAACACGCCATGTAAACCTCAGCCTACCTGTTAGTGTGAGATCCACTGGTGCTGGTGGGGTGCCAGATTCCCACTGAGGGGTTTTTTTCCTGAGATTTCGTCCTTCTCCTCCTCTTCACTAAATCTTCCTCCGGGTAAACGTAAAGCGAGCAAAAAGTGCTTGTGTCTACAAAAAAAACAACAACAAAATAAAAAAATAATAATTAAAAAAAACCTAAAAAAAAACCCAACACCTTCAAAAATGCCTTTCCTCCCTCCTCAAGACAGCACTACCTCGTTCAATCCAACCGGGCCGGCAGGTGGGACTTCATGACTGGAGACACCGACAGCGGAGACTGAATACCAAAAGATAAAGCTGTTCTACTGCATTACACACACATACAGCAGGATATAGCACGGTCCCCCGTCCGAGCGGCCAGGCTCGGCTCGGCTCAGCTCGGTGCCAGTCTTCTCCAGCACGGCAATATATTAATTAATTTCTCAGCTAACAGTCCGGTGTGCTTCAGGAAGAATGTCCGTTTTTATCGACGCCTTAATACAACAAACAACCCCCAAATAACCCGGACGTGTCTGCGGGGTCTCGCTGGATTTGACAACCCGGGAAGTGTCACCTGTGTTGACCAATGGTCGCAGCTACTCAGTTTTTTGAGCGTTTTTTTCTGGTATGTCGTCGATAAATCCTCAATAAATCCCGTCAAGGAGAACTCCGACACCGCCGAGGGGCCGGTTCAAGTCCCGGTGCAAGCCTCTGCTCGCTCTTACTGGTCTCGGTAACGGCGGACAGAGACTGCGCGGTCGTCCCGGTAGTCTTGAGAGAAGATGCTGCCGGTGTTACCGCCGCTGCCGCTGTGTGGACGCCGTGACCGCCTCGGCTAGCTGTCGCACACGCGCGCACGTGCGCAGCCTCGCAGGCACGCACGCTCGTTCCCGGGCGTGTGACGCGCGCCGCAGTGTCCTCCCTAGCAAGCTGGTCGCCTTGGCAACGCTTTCTTCTGACCTCAATATGGTCGCTTTTATACTAAAAAATGTGTCGCGTTCACCGCAGTTTCTGTCGCGATGACAGCGTGCTCACGTTCACTCAGTGGCGGAAAGAGGTATTAATCCGCTCCTTTGTACAGAGGTCGTGGTACGGCCGGTCTCCATCTTCTCCTGCAGAGGGATGTGAAAAATGAGTGCTGAGGAGTTTCATTTTTTCGGCATCCCTCTCTCCTCCTCTCCTCCGCTCGCATCCAGCCGGGCAGATCTGCATCAGCATGACGTCAGAGGACGTTAAAGGGATACTAGCCCATTTTTTTCCTCTCCTCCTCCTCCCCTCTTCCTTCCCATCCACACTGCATCTTTCCTTTCGCACTATCCCTTCAACGTTCAGCCGACCACCAAGCATCCCTCCCAACCTCAGTCGCTCCCCTCCGTCTCTCCATCCATCCTATACAGTTTGAACTTTCCACACAGAGGACATGTTATCCTCTTTTTCTGCCTGGATAATCCCCATAGGAGGCTAACCGTGTTAATCATTGAGGGATAAATATCAGTATTTTGAGTGCAAAATCGGGTATTAAATGAATTGTATAGTGATACCACGGAAGATAAAAATGATGGGCTACAATAACATTAGGCTATGCACTCACTAATCATCACTACAAATCCCTTTTGGAACATCACACTGATTTTTTCGTGGTGGGCTGCTGGCTTCGCCAGCTTGCACATTTATTTATTTTATGCTTTACTTTAAGGGATAATAACTATCTAACCTCCAGCATGGCCCAGTCCCTGATCTCATCAGTGCAGATGGTAATGGCTGTGCGGTGGCAGCACCTGCTCCTCTGGATGCAGGACAGGCACATGTCTGTCTTATTACCAGGGTCATAACACAGCCAAACATCTGCCTCAGTCACTCTCCCACTGCACAGCCATGTATCCGCAGTTGGTGGGCCAGCCAGGAATTCCCAGCTCAGAGGATCAAAGTCTCTCCCAAAACAACTTGCTCCATATTTGCTTGTTTTCCACGTGCAGTCACTTAAGCTAAAGTATAATGAGTGGCACCCCAAATGGAGCCCATGGACTCTCAGGCAGCATCCAGATCTCATCGGAGACAAGATTTACTGCCTAACATCCATGTGCCAGTGTTCATTCGGCTCCTCGTATAAACCCAAGGCAGGGAAACAGGCTGCTTCTCCACTCATGTGGGGAGACCAGCCTGTCGTCAATCAGCCAAAACATCCAGTCAGCCGGTCGTGCCTTTTACCTTCGGACACATCCAACTACCTGAGGGACACAGATGAGGCGGCGAGAGAGGAAGAGGGGGATCGCCGTGGGGCTACAATCTCGGCTATCAAGACAGATTGTCTTTGGAGGTGGATGTTCATTCCCCCAGTGATATCCCATCAGGTGAGGTGGTAGAGGGCCTGTGTGTGTGTGTGTGTGTGCTGTGTGTGTGTGTGTGTGTGTGTTCATGTATAGGGGTGATGTTGATGTCCTGCACTTGATAGACTCTAGCCAAGCATCAGCATTAATGGCCCACCAGTGAGACCTGACAGCTGAGCCCACACCAAGACATTTACACGTGCACACACACTCACACACACACACACACCTCACTGCCTGTTTCACACAACTCCTTGTCACTGATGGACTACATTGATACATGATAGCGAACACATGTATCACAGTCCCTTTTGCTCTCCCTTCACACAGGAAGAACACACACTGTCCCTCCCTGCACACAGACACTCCCAGCCGTGATATATGTTGTGTTAGAGGTCAGTTCTGCCACTGTGGAGCCCCAGGGGGAGCTGCCGGTCTGTCGAAAATTCCTCTGCAGTGTTTATGTATGTTCTTATGCTTTCAAAACACCATTATAGAGGGCCATGTTTGATTAGCCCAGTTCTACGCCTAAGTGACCAGTCAAAAGGCCCCTTTGATGTGGCCCCAGGGTCCTGGGCTCCTGCAGATAGGCTCTACTTTTCCATCTCTCGGCTCAACAGTTCTGAAACAGTCAGAACAGACCACCCACAGGGGAAATGAATGTGTTAGGACTTCCATAAGCATACACACATGCACATAAAGGCATTCATTGTCACATACGTAAATGTACATTTAGCTGTACGCTGCTATCACACATATACACATGCATGCAGATTTAATATTCCATTAACAATGGGCTGCAACAACAGCCACATTCTGCTATAGTACAATGAAATCATTTGTTTGCTCGGAGGTGTTTGCAGTAATATGTCATTGCAATCTCATAAAGCCATTAACCTTTCTGTCTAAGGCACCCAGAGTATGCAGAAAGCCCATTTTCTCTCCGCCTAATTTACCTTTCCTGCAACCTGACTTATTGAGCATTGCCACAAATCCCTACTGTTTGTTTGTAGACGGTGAGAGACCACACTGTCACAGAGCTTGAAATAGAATATCAAGGATAAACATTTATTCATTTGTTTTATGACTTTATGACTAATTCTAAAGGTTGGTAGTATTCTGCACACTCACCTGTGCACACGTACACATTATACACATAATTACAGATTATTATTCCTCATTGGGAGAAAAGGCCTGCAAAGATGCCATTCCAAATAGCTGAAAACAAACTCCAGCGATAGCAGATGCCAGGAGCTTTTAATTCACAAAGCGGTTTTGGCGGAAAGAGACTGGGCTATAGCACAGTTGGATGCGAGCTTGCCAGGAGAGGCAGAAGAACTGCATTGCACAGATACACTTTAAATGAAAGGTGCTCAACCTCCTCCTGTTCCTGCAGGAGGGGTTACTCTTTAACCTCTTCATATTCAGTGGTTTATTTGGGGGGGGGTGATAGAGGGGATGCTACCCCCCCTTGTTAGCAAAAAAATTACACCTAGTACACTGGTTCCCAACCTTTTTTTCAGACAGACTCAAGTACTTCCTCAGCACTACCAATCATGTTCCAGATGTGTTCATTGATTTTTAAACTAGATGTTATTTAACACTATTGACTATATAAATGTGGATATTATTGGAATATTTCTTTTCGTAGTGTTTTGGTTTGTTTAACTTTGCACTTAAGGATAAGATAAAATGAGATAAACTAGACTTTTCTGATCCCACACTGGGGAAATTCACACATTACAGCAGCTCCAGATAGAACACAGCAGATAAGAAAAAAGAAATACACATTAAATAACAATATAAAATAGGAAAATACAAGATATAATGAAAATTAAAAAAAAAATAATTAGAGTTGTATGTACACTGTATATAGCTTTTATAAAGATGTGATATTTATAGATATTGCAAAGGTTACAGTAGGAGGTAGGGGCATGCTGTAAAAATAAATAATTACACAGGATAAAAATATATATACAGCAGTAATTTAGCAGAAAAAATATAGGCTAGAAGAGGCTATGAATATACAGTACAGGTCTAATACTAATAATGTCCATGTAGGAAATTATATATATATATTTATATATGCATGTGAAATTGTACAGTACTGAGCGCAAATAGAATATTAAATAGTGCAAAAGTGACTGTGATGAGAATTGAGGCACAAGATAGATATTTGAACCCTTTTATCTATTTCTAGCTAATCTTTTAAACAATTTTTCCATTCTGCTTGGCTATTTCAACCATTTATCTGTTATGGTTAGCTATTTAGACCATTTATCCATTACTTTCTGCTGTCTCTGCTCGCTGACTAACATGGCACTGTCCTTGGTGCTGAAGTAGCAGACGGACTTGCCTTTTTCTCTCATCCCTTCTTCTCAGTTTTGTCTTGGATATATTCTCCAAATTATATAAATACTCAATTCTACATTATATTGTAGCCTATATACTCTATAGAGTAGAGTCACTGTCATGGTCAAAGTGACAAGTGGCAGCCGCAGAGGAGCGGAAAGATCATAGAGACAGAGTGCTGCCAGTATATTCCTATAATATTCATCATTCATCATTCAGTAGCATTTGTGCTGCTGGAAATACACCCAAGACCCATGGAGGTAGGCAAACTATAACCCTAAAATTAACAGATCCACAGCTGTTTACACTCATACACTGGAAGTTCAAAATCTCACCGTTCCCCTACTCCTCTCTGTGCCCTTATTTTGTCCTCTGAGTTCTCACACTCACACCTTTAAACCTCTTACACATCGCACCCTGTCTGAATTCCTCTCACTGATTTACCCTTCTTCACTGCTAACTTCATCACTGGTAATCTTTCTTGACTTCCTTGTAGGTTCACATTTATTTTCCCTTCTCTCTGCCTCATCTCTCTATCTACCTTCATGCCCACCCGCCACGAGGCACCTGGCCCCCAGGTTAGTAACTGGTGCTCTTCCAACCTCACTCCCACCTCCTCTCCCGCTCTTTAGCTCCTGGCATTGTGTTCTGTTTCTCACACACTCACTTATCACTGTAAGGTTGGATTTATGTCTGAGCACACTGTTATTTATTGGGACATTGTTGTTATTTTTTGGCGGGTTGAAGCCGCTACAGAGAATGTGCTGAATGAGTCAGGCATGAGACAGGATGATAGCTTAAGCATTATGTAGTTCAATGGAGCGCTGATAGCATTCAGCTGTAAACATGGTAGTCAGTTGTCAGTCACACCAAGGTGTGACCCTTGCCATGCTTTGACCTTGTTGTTTTTTCTCATTGTGATGGGGAGAAAGGATGAAACAGTAGTTTAGAAACTGAACCTTTGGGGAATATGTGAGGAACACTGAGAGTGAAAACTTTTAGTTTAATGGCAAACAATAGAATGATGCATTACTGCCCTCTAGACAATGACATATCCCTCTTGGTTTCAGCAGGGGAAAGCTTTTGTCTGTCTGTCTGACAGTGTTCTGTCTTTTCGTTTCTGTAGTCAGATGACTGCACATGCACTGATTTGATCGAGGGTCAGTAATGATACTTGCTGACAAAGGCCAGCGTTATTTCCTGGGTCATAAGCCTAAAAAAAGGAAGCCAGATGTGACAGAAAGTTGGTCTTAACGCTGCTGACAGCAGACTCAGTTTTCC